CTAATTAAGTCCTTATTTTTCGATCGATGAATTCAATGCCTTTTAAGACTTTTTAAGGATCTGCAGGAACCCTGGTTCTACATTTTATTTTATTAAAAGAAGCAAAAAGAAAACATCAGGAAACAAAAAATAAGTAGATGGCTTTCGGAGTTGACTTATACTCTTCCTTTGGAAAAAAATCACTTGTATAATAAAACATCAAAAACGTAGATTCCCCCAGATTTGGGACGTCTTCATTCACTATATCAGTAGCTTAGACTTGATACAATTGATGGGAGCGTCAGAAGATACATAAAATATTGGCCTTCAGCAGTGTTTTATGTAATAATAATGATAATAAAATTAAAAAAAACAAACAAAACAACGGTTCTTTTCCTCTAAAAACCAAAGCCGTCCTGTCTGAGACATATATTTCCTGACAGGGCTGTTCAGGATCTGCTTTGTGTTTGATGATGCTGAGAACTCCTCTCCACACAACCGGAGCTTCTTCTCTCAGAAATGTATCTTTAACTTTGCCTATGATTACAGATGCTCGCTGCAGCCTCTCTACCCTCTTCAATCATCGCCGGGCCAAATGCGCCGAGCGGTCCCGGTCTCAGCGGAAACGCCCCGGATTTGGAGGAAGAGATGAACGCTGAGGAGAGGGGTGGCCTACATTTCCTGCGCCGTGTAACCAGCCGCCTCTTTTCCTCGCTAATTAGCACAATGAATATATTACTGCTCCGCTCTCATCCATCAATCAGAGTCGGAGAAAAAGGACAAGTCCACACACCTCACTKCASYGTTTTATTTTTTACTCCACTAASTTCTCCCAGTGTTTCCTGCTTGAATCAGTCAGACACGCCTGCCGCCGCCTCRTTGACCGCAATCAACACACCCATCACCGCCAATTAGCRTCACTCCGGGTGGTTAAAGAACCCTCGTAATCATCAACGTTTCCCACCCAGACGCCGGTTGGGGGAGACGGCGTGACGGCAGAGTCTAACGGACGAAGAGCCAGTGTCTTAGAGGCGGGACTTCAGTGTCGCCGTTTGCCACCTGGAGACTGAGTGGACCTGGTGATACCAAGGACGGCATACTGCTCAGGTTTTAAAGAGAGATCTTGTATCATCGATTCTGATGTGAATCTGCTGCTACCACACCAAAGATTAGATCGATATCTGCAAAACAAATGTGACACATCACATCGAAATGAGGATTTAGTCAAATTTGGTCAAAATGACCTAATCGTGTTTTCAGATTCCTGCTTTAAAAGCTACATTTTGATACTTAGATCATCCGGATGTCATTAGTAGATCCAGAAATATTATTTAATTTCTTGTTGGTTACAATAATACATAAATA